AAAGTTTGCCGCTTTCTGGTTGAAATCCAGGTTTCACCGTAACTTTCCGGGGATAATGGAGTTAACCGTTATCTAAAAATGTATTAGAAAGAGCCTACGCAGGACTTTTTTAAGATGAGTCCGTGTTAGACTGCATCTAGGTGATGAGAAGTAACCCGTGGTAAATTTCTTAGTCTGGTTATGTAGATAGTTTTCTTGTCTGGTTTTCAGCTGTTAATCTAAAAATCAGCTGTTCACAGATAATTGTCCCGTCTTGATTCAGGTATTAATCTGGAGCTTGAAAGTTGTCGGTTGCTGAGATAGTTGTCCTGTCTGATTTCAGGTATTAATCTTTGACTCGAGAAAGGAAGATAGTTTTCCCGTCTGGTTTCGAGTGTTAATCTTTAATCTCTTTATGTAGATAATTTTCCTGGCTTGTTACATGTATTAATCCACAGTCGGTCGTCCACAAATAGTTGTCTCGTCTGGATTCAGGTATTAATCGGGAACTTGAAGAATTGTCGATCATTGAGATAGCTATTCTGGCTAGTTACAAGTATTAATCTCTGACATGAGGAAGAAATATGGTTTTCCTGGCTAGTTACAGGTATAAATCTTCGATCTCCTCATGTAGATAGTTTTCCTGGCTTGTTATAGGTATTAATCTTCAATTTATTCATGTAGATAGTTTTCCTGGCTTGTTACAGGTATTAATCTTCAATCTCCTCACGTAGATAGTTTTCCTGGCTTGTTACAGGTATTAATTTTCAACTTGTTATGTTAGTCCCATAGATAGTTTCCTCGTATGGTTTCGGGAATTAATCAGTGGCCTGCTGTATTTGTTGGTAAACCCGTCTTGCTTCGGGAGTTCATACCAGTTAGTCGTGTAGATAGTTTTCCCGTCTGGTTTCGGGCATTAATCTTTGACCTACTGTAAAAGTTGACAGTGTTTGTCTGTCTGCTAATTTAACTTGAAAAGGTAAAATCAGTTTCATGCAATGTCCTGATGTATGGATTGCATGATTCTTCCAAAATAAATGAGATTGTGATATATGTATTTTTATGCACATGCCCTGATGTATGAACATGTAATGCTATTGCGAAGTATATAAAATCCCTGACTGCCGTTGAAGAGCACCGAGAAGCTGAATCCAAGATCGTTGTTGGTGAGTGAAGAAAGTGATTCTTCAATTTCTGTTGGGGATAATGAATGGAGATAGTTTTACTGGGGATTTTCGACTTCTGTTTGAGAATGATTTTGCCGAGGGGAAGAGTTATGTTGGAAGATTTAACCAATTTGGAGAAATAAACTCCCCTGGGGGATGAACTTCCGTAGCTAGAGAAATAAACTCTATTGGGGATAAGGCTTTATAAACTACTTGAGATTTATAAAACTCTATTGCGGAAGGTGAACTCCATAAACTGCTTGGGATTTTGTTGAAATCCTGTTGGGGAATCCTGAGAAGCTTGGCAACTTCACTGGGGAATTTTCGAGCAGTAGTTAGAGATGTATTGAATAAGTATCAGAATGACATCCATATTTGGAGCATATCTGAATTATATCTGAAAGAAAAATATGGAATGAGTATCAGAATGGCATCCATATTTGGAGCGTATCTGAACTATATCTGACAGCTGTATTGATTGAGTATCAGAAGGGCATCAATATCTGGAGAATATCTGACCTATATTTGGAAGAGAAATATGGAATGAGTATCAGAAGGGCATGCGTATCTGGAGCGTATCTGAACTGTATCTGATAGCTGTATTGAATGAGTATCATAATGGCATCCGTATCTGGAGCGTATCTGAACTGTATCTGACAGTTGTATTGAATGATTATCATAATGGCATCCGTATCTGGAGCGTATATGAACTGTATCTAGAAGATGAATTGAATGAGTATCAGAATGGCATCCGTATCTGGAGCGTATTTGAACTGTATCTGGAAGCTGTATTGAATGAGTATCAGAATGGCATCCATATCTGGAGCTTACTTGAACTGTATCTCGAAGCTGTACTGAATGAGTATCAGAATGGCATCCGTATCTGGAGCGTATCTGAACTGTATCTGGAAGCTGTATTGAATGAGTATCAAAATGGCATCCGTATCTGGAGCGTATCTGAATTGTATCTAGAGGCTGTATCTGGAGTATTTGGAATGTTTCTGTTGGGGATTCCTGTTTTGTTGTTTTGAGAAGAAATCCGCTTGGGAATCCTGAGAAGCTTGGCAACTTCACTGGGGAATTCTTAGATGTTGGAGAAGTAATTGGAGATTGTGATCGGAGGAAATAAAACTGACTGTTTTTGAATGCTGGTTCGCGAAATGTCGCGGTAAGCAAGAGTCGCCACCGTCTTTTATTTTCTCCAACAAGGAAAGGACAAAAGCACAGCAAAATTCCTTCTTTGAGAATGTTTCTCAGTTCGGGAGGTAGATTTATAGAAAGGGAAGGTGTTAGCACCCTTTCTATCCGTGGTTATCCACGGGCTCTTAGGTACTTTCTCTTATGTTTTCAAAATTTGTTTGCTTTTCAAGTGTTTGTGGGTTTTGAAAAAGTTTCGTTTGAAAAATTTCTAGGTAACTCTTGTATCTGTCCTCAAGAGTGTATGAAATATTTGTTTGAAAAAACCTTTTGAAAGTGTGGGTGCGAAAAGTTGTTTTTGTTTTTTTGAAAAGAGCAAGTACCCAGGAGAAATCTACCTACTCTAAGGAATTAGGCTGTGTAAGAGTCCTTTAGATAGTGCTATCCCACCATTGAGAGGTAGGTAGCACCATCGTTGGAGTTATTCAGGTCAATTCGATTAAGGGACATGTGTGGTCACCAAAGCAATAGTAGGACGCCTTAGTGGTAACCCTAATGTCCTAGATCCTTTTTATCCGAGGCAACCGTTTCGAGGCAACTGGATCTTAGACAGGAGGGCGACCTTTAAAACACCCTATACTTGATGACCCCCTTCGAAGGCAACCGAGTGAGGCGTACCCTAAGAGTGGCATGTGCATTTGTGTTGTTTCAGTTAAGGTTATCTTGTACATGTTATTTGTGAGCTACCGATTGATTTTATTTGTCATACAAGTTTTCACTACGCCAAAAATGATTTTTTGTATCACCTAATTTAATAGCACTTTTAAAAAAAATGCTATTAAAATGGAAAAAACACATTTATAATAACACTTTTTAATCGGGCGCTATTATATAATACAGACTATGTAATTTTGATAGCACTTTGTACCAGAACGCTATTATTAAACTTCTTTAAGATAGCATTTTGTATAAAACGCTATTATTTGACTACCTATATAATAACATTTATTAAAAAGCGCTATGTTATATATATAATATTAAAAAAACCTTAAACTATATTTATATAAAAAATGAATGAACTAAGATCAAAGTTAACATTTCTTTAGCAGCAGCATTGAGTCAGTTGGCAATACAAAGCCTGAGCTGAAGTAAAGAGGAAGGGGAAAAAAATGACAGAAGCAAACAACCTGAGAGACGCCAGGAGAAGAAGAAGAATCCTCCAACAAGGATCCGACCGTCTTGCCTTCATCCAGGGTCGGATCCAAACCCTCCCTCCTCCCGGTAACTACCTCGTCTCTTCTCTTTCATTTCAATTTTCTCTCTTCTTATTGCTTCTGTAATCATCCATCTACAAACCCTAGAATTCAATTTTGATTTTACAACTGCTTTTCTTCAGATCTGCCTCATGCCAACGACGAGGAGCAGGAGTATCCGAATTCCGTTTTGCAGAATCACGTTGATGCCGAAATTTTGCCTGAAAAACAACACAGTGAAAGTGAGATTTTAAGTTTCCCCAATTCTGAAATTGAACCTGAACATGTACAAGAATCACAACCTCTATTTCAACCTCAACCACCAACAACACATCAAGATTCATCTGATGAAATTTCCCAGCTCGAAGAACCTAGAAGTTTCGATTTCATAAGCCCTAGGGATGTGACGAATGCCGTTGATGCCTCAAGGTTTACGCGTCTTTGTTGTTCGATTATAGTTGCCTTATTGGTTGTTGCCTCTTGTCTAGGATTCTCTTTGATTAAGACTATTATAAGCTTTAGACCACTTTACTTGGTTCTCCTCACAAATTCGTCTTTTGTTGTTGTGAAAATTATTTCTGGGAAACAAAGAGGCTCTGATGAAAGGTTGAGGAGGAGACGGAACAGCGCCAGCGCTGATTCTTCTGATCAATATGCACAGCTTGCAAAAACATTGGAAATTGGAATGGTGCTGAAGACTGTGGCTGATGTTGTCTTCATGGATTGCGCTGTCTATGCTATTGTGCTCATATGCAGCCTTTCCCTTGTGCATCACTGATATAAGGGCTTCTTGTACTTGGTTTGAAATTTTGAACCCTTTTTCTTTTATTCATCGACTTCATTGTTTTTGTGATCTAGGATTATTAACTAGTATTAGTGCACTGATTACTTCTATTTTGTGTTAATTTTATTGCTTTTTGCTAACACTACTCATTCGCGCATCTTTTGATTTTTAAATTGACTAGATTACAGATTACAGATTTTGTGTTAATTAAATTGACAACGGAAGCGGCCAGGAACACCGCATTCCAACTTGTGATTGTTTTTAATGGAAATGGAAATAGTTATGGACAGGTTTATTTGGATGATGGTGAGGCTGTTGATATAGAAGAGAAAGAGCAGTGGACATTTGTTAGATTTTATAGTGAATTTCATAACAATAGTGTTTCTGTAAGATCAAATGTTACAAATGGAAAATTTGCTTTGGACCAAAAATGGATCATTGAAAAGGTTACTTTCTTGGGGATACCAAAGAATGAGAAGTTAAGTAGAATTGATTTGGCTGTGAGTGAGATTGAGTTGAATGTTGTGAATGGAGTTAAGTCACCGAAAGAAAGAGTGTTGAAGACAAAATTTGATAGGTCATTAGAGTTTGTTCTAGTTTGAGTGATAAGGCTTCTGTTGTTTTGTAGAGTTGTATATTGATGATTTTTAGGGTTTTGTGTGCTGTAATTGTGAGCAAAACATGGCTTGTTCTACTGATAGCATTGTTTTGATTGATGATGATACAGTGAATTGGCTGAGACATGTTGGAAGACAGCTATCCAAAAACTTGACTTCTTCAGTTGATAAGCTTCTTCAATTACTTGATGTAACCTATCTCATTTCTGCTTCATTTTTGTGTCATGAATTTTGCTGAATTCATCTTCCTGCTTTGCTCAATTTTGTGTCTTGTTGGTTATTACTCATAGTTTGCTGATAGGTATGATTTAGGGTAATGATATAAACCAATTCTAGTATTTTATTTGGTAAATGCAGGTACACTTGGCCGAACTCTGTGATCAAATTTCGTTATTTGTTTGCGCTTTTCGTTATTTCGTTATTCTACTAATTTTCATATCTATTGATATATGTTTATGTTTCTGCTGGATTTGTTGAATTCAATTGTATATCTTGAATATGTAATCCTGTGCTTCTGTTCTTATAAGACTGATTGAATTCTGATTTTTCCCCCTTGTATTTGGTGATTCAAACTTTTAGAAATTGGAGCTGATATTATCAATCTTGGATCATGATCCACCCAAGCAAATTCAAGGATCACTTGTACTTCCAATGAAGACATTGATTTCTGATCAACTTTTGAGACACGCAGACGAGGATGTTAAGATTTCTGTTACAGCTTGTCTCACTCAGATTACAAGAATTACAGCACCGGATGCACCTTATGACGATGAACTGATGAAGGTACTTGTTTTAACTTGATGTAATTTTCATTGTAGATACTATATATTATAGATAGTTTTCAAGTTGTACAGAAAAAAACATCTCATTTCATGGTGGACAGGAATTTTTGAAGCTGGCCGTGTGAGCTTTTGAAAAATTGTCACATGTATCTGGCCGCAGCTATGAAAAAGCAATTAGCATACTTGAAAATTTTTCAAAGATCAAAATGTTCTTGATTATGCTGGACCTTGAGTGTGATGACCTGGTTATGGAGATGTTTCAACAGTTCCTGAGAATTATAAGGTTAGCGCACTCACAACATATATTTTTATGTTACTTCTGGTTTATGTAGCACTGACTCAAATACGGATACCAGACACATGCCGTTGACGTTGACATTTCAGAAGCTGTAATTATTAGATAAATTGAATGATAGAATTGAACCACATGTGTCGGTGTCGCGTCAGTGTCAGACACCGAATATGCCTTCAATTTGAAGAACCAGTGCTACGTAGTTCTCGTTCAAAACTTGCATAGATGAAATTTAATACCTCCATTTGGTTTTTCATTATTTTTGTTACTTTGGTAATTGATGATCGAAGTAAAACATTGTTGAACCTTTAGGGAATGAATCATTGATGTGATATTGGTTCTGCTATGTCATTTCCTATAAGAAACATGCCGTGAGAAAAGGATTTGATTTTTGTTATACTTATTTGATGAATGCATGTAATCTCTATAAAGTGAGTAGGAAATGTCTTTGTTAGATTTAATATAATTTATGACCCTTCACTTATTTGATGAATCCATATCATGAATGATTTTTTATCTAACAAGTGTTCTGCAAAATTTGCATCAGTTCTTGTACAAGTTACCCCTTGGATAAACTTACACTATCTAGTTTTGTTAATTACTTGAGATATTGTTTGCTAAATTTAAAGGTCAAACCATCCGAGTAATGTAATTGAATCAATGGAGAATGTAATGACCAGGATACTTGACGAAAGCGAAGATATTTCCTTGGATCTTCTTAGGCCTTTGTTAGATAGTGTAAAAAAGGAGAACCAGGTAACATACTTTGCATTATTAGTGTTGTGTTTTCCTCTGCATTATTTATCAATTTCACTGTGATGATCTGGTTTTACTCGATTTTCTCAGACTATTTCACCTATTTGTTGGACCTTGGGGGAGAAAGTAATTACAAATTGTGCCTTCAAACTTAAACCTTATCTCATGCAAGCAGTTGTATCCTCTGGAAGAACGCTCGATATGTATCCGCAAATAGTAACTTCTATTTGCCAGAATCAACCTGAATCACAAGAACACATTCAATCATTAGTACGTTTTCTAAGTAAACTGCTTTCAAGTTTTTTTGTTTTTGTTTTTGAGAAGTGCTTTATAAAAGACAAAGCAGATGAGAACTTCAAACTGATGTAAGGATTGGTTCAGGTTCAGGCAGTTGAAAACAATCTTGTTGTACCTAAAGATGCTCATGAAGTCACGTTTAGGGTGTGCTCGTCTTGAAGCTGATATGGTAAGTATGTGTATAAATGTACTATACAATATTATAAAAAAATTTAATTGCTATGTTAATTTGTAAAAATGTATATACAGGTAGAAGAGTCAGAAGTTGGTGAGATAAACCGTAGTCAAGTGTGGAAGGCTGCCCGCGTCAATAAGAGCGGGGTGATTGATAATGAGAATGTTCAAAGAGTTGTGGATCAATGTGTAAGTCGAATTTTAGATGTGACACTATAGATGTTATTTCCAAAATGCTCACATTATAGATGTGACACTTTTTCTATACTCATCATTGTTACCGAATTTGTATTTTGTTAGTTAGTTTGAAGTCATTAAACTCGATTTTCCTTAATTAATTGAGTCTTTGTGTCTTATTTTGATAGAATAGCCATTAATTGCAACTTGTATCTAACTATTGGTTATTTCTTTTATACTTATCAATGTCAGGAGAAGTTAACAGAAGCTCTATCTGAAGAAGAGAGACAAGACCTTGGTCCCACAAACATATTATTGGTGTTTTGTTTAGAGAATTTGATTGTATGTTTTTGGATTTGGATTGAAGTACTCATAGATGGGCATCTACAAATTTGGCTATGCAAACGCCCTCTTAATATTCTATATGTTATGATATTTGGAAACAATAGGATTTGGTAATTTAAAATGTTATTTGGTATTTGATGGATCATAATATATATGCAATGAGTAACTTAAAGCGTTATTTGTGTTGAATTGAATATAGTTATTTTATATTTACACCAAAAAAAATGATTGTGTAAGAAAAAATATTATACTGTACTTATTAAAAATATTGTACCAAATATGTACCATTTATTAGCACTTTATTTGAAAGCGCTATCAAACATATGTTATATATTAGCACTTTTTGTTTAGAGTGCTATAAAAAAACAAACAAAAAACATGCAAAATACTGACTTTGATAGCACTTTAATTAAAACGCTATTATAAATTAGTACTTTAATAGCGCTTTTAAAGTGCTATTAAATAAGAAATATTTACAATAGTGGCGCGGTTAATAGCACTTTTAAGCGCTATCAAAAACAAAAAAAAACGCTATTAAATAGCTTATTTGGCGTAGTGTTTTCATGCATTTTTTTAACAGTTAAGAGTGCGGAAAATAAATTGCGGAAATATGAATCTACGCTATTACAAGGCGCGGATCTATACATCGCCAAAAACAAAAACCCGTTTGGAAAATAAATGCGAGAAATTAAATAAAGCGATAAAGGAGGTCCTATTTAACTATTACATTTCTGAGCAGATACATAATCAAAATAATGAATTAAAATAAATATGCGCGCGAAAGATTGAATCGGGATGTCCTTAGGGTTTTGACCCTTTTTTTGAGAAAGAATTGAATTTTGTCCCTTTTTGCAATTAATTAAAAATTAAGCCTAATTACTATTAATTAATTTATTAAAAGAAAAAAATGTTTTTGTATTTTTATGTTTTTAATGAAATAAAATAAAAAAAAAGGAAATTAAAAGTGTCAAAAGAAAAACCTAAGTCTAAATAATTTTATTTATTGTAAAAAGAAAATTAAAATTTAAACCTAATTAAACTAAATTAATTTAAGTTAATGTTTATTTACAAAATAATTAAACCTAAGTGAAATTAATAAAAATAAAATATTTATATTTTTTAGTTTTCTGGATTTTTATTGTGAAAAGGTTAATTAATGTTAATTTTAGTGATAATAATAATAATTAGAAAAAATAGTTAATAAATAAACTAGAAAAATAAAAAATAAAAAAAAGAAAGAACCAAAGGGGGGTTCTGGGCCCAGAATGGAGGTTTGTGTGGAAATTGGAAGCCCATTTGTTGCCAAGCCTGCGTTGACTTTTTGCAATTGTCTATGGCATAGTGGACTGGGGAACACCCTGATCTTCATCCTTTGACCATTGGATATGTGGTAGTGGCCACCTGGCAAGCTGATGCGTGGGATGCATGATGGACTCTCTTTGGCAAGCCTCACCAGAATACCTGAAAAACAAAGGCAATAAGATTTTTGGGGGACCTGGGATTCGAACCCAGGTCCCAAGGGTCTATGCACGTTCTTCCCAACCACTGAGCCAATCGCTTCCATTCGTTATAATAATAAACAATTAATATTATATGAAATAAACAAACAGTATCTTGGAAATTAAAAACGCGCGCCACTTTGTTTGAATGAGCCAACCATGCCTCACCACGTCATTGTCTTCCTCCTGTGTTCCTGCAAAACAACAAATGGATAGCGGGGGTTTTTAACCCCCACAAACTGAAAAAGGAAAAAATAGCGATTAGATCTGTGCGCCATATAAATTCATCGCGAGGGTTGTTTGAGCTTCGTCTCATTCAGACGGTTTCAACCATGGGTCTTTCAAAGCCTAATTTTTCCTATATGACAAACCCCCAATTCAAGAGCTTGAAAACCCTAAAACTCATCCATGGTGGTTTGTGATTTAGGGCTTTACAACTCAATTATCTTGTACCAAAAGTTTCGTACAGTCCCTGTGAACACAAAACACTCAACAAAAGACGTTAAACATGCATGAATCGATGTATGTGATTATGAAAAAATTTGACAAACCGTGGGTCTGTGTAGCACGTGTTCTTGAGCTTTGAGGCTTGTTTTTGATTGCAATGTGTTCCTCAGTGTCCCAGCAATGTGTTTGAATCTTTAAATCTCCTTGAAAGGGCCTGGAAGGTGGAATTCAGTTTTGGCTTTTTTCTTGATTTTTCAATATTGGTTATGGCTCTTACAGCAGATTTTCCATGTGAATAGCATTAGGTTTAGGTTCAACATATGTATGGGAATAGAATTAGGTCAAAGTTTTGGGCCAAGTATCCATGGAATTGATGTTTTGAGATTTTGTTGATCACCATTAAAGAACTTTCCATTCTTCAAGCAAAACCATGATTTTATGCACAAAATAGCCTTAGCAAGAATTTGGTAGCTGGCATATGACACATGAAAGCCATTCAAACCAAAAGATGCTATTCCATTAAATTTTTAGATTTTATTTGAATTATTATGGATTTAAAATGAATTAAATCAATAAAAATTAAATAAAATGGAAAAATAAATGTTTGATCTTGAAATTAATCATGGGACACGTGGTTGGCATGACAAGGCTGAATCAAGTGGAAGAAAGTGGGCCCTTTTGTCAAAAATTGAAGTTTTAAGGATAGTTGACTTTTGCACATTCATGAAAATTTCCCAACTTCTCCAATGCATATCTTGCTCAATTTTGATCATATGAACATGTTCTTAGACATTTTGGAAAGGTCTTGAAGTCCTCTAACCAATGCCTTTGGTCCCATGTCATTTTGATTTACCAATCTCAAGTTATGGTGTTTGACTTAAAATGCCTTTTTGTTGACTTTTGAAATTGACCTATAATGTAGAAATTGATAACTTTTTGTGAGGGCATTTATTGGACTTGGAATGTGAATATGAGTTGTGGGAAATGTCATCCCCTTCAAAATGAGCATTGGATGGGATTTTTCTGATGAACCATGAAAAAGTTATGCCTTGGTCAAGTTACAGTTGACTTTTCAACTGTCCAAAAATGGAAACTTTTGCATCTTGATGATTTTTGAGCCATGCTTGTGGAATCATGA